CCAGCGGGAGAGGTGTGAGGTTCGAACTCCAGCAACCTGAGGCTGACAGCTTTGTGGAAGCAGCCACTTAAAGGCCTGAGCTAGGGCCAGGCCCCCAGAGACGTGCTTTTTATGTTAACATTTTCTCAGTATTTTGTCTTTACATGTTGTCAGTTTGTATAAATGTAGTTGTAATATATGTGAGACTTAGGTTGCTATTTATCTTGGAAAGAAAAATTGTAAATAGGTTTTCCTGTCATTAAGCACCTTATAACCAGAATTCAATATAGTTCACTAGTTCTGTTTCAAGCAGATAAATTAATAATATGATCTGCATTGTCTAAAATACAGATATTGTCTATAATCAATATTGTCACTCCATTCTTGACACCTTTTATTTTTTGAGTAATCTGTATTTTAACAAGTGACAGGGGCCAGGGAGATGGCTCAGTAGAATAAGCATTTGCCTGGCAAGCACAAGGACCCGAGTTCAATCCCCAGTTCCAAAAAACAAAAACAAACAAACAAACATGTGACTTGGGCTGGGGAGACAGCTCAGTAGAATAAGCACTTCCCTGTCAAGCGCAAGGATCTGAGTTCAATCCCCAGATCTGAAAAAAAAAAAAAAAAAAAGACTTTTTCTCTTGAAAAGTAGGGACTGGGGATATAGTTCAATGTGACAGTGCATGCCTGGCCAAGCTCAAGGTGCTGAGTTTGAGTCCTACTACCAAAAAGAAAAAGAGTAATAAAGCCATAGAGCTGTGCAAAGCACATTTCAAATTTATAAAAGGTATGTAATTTAAAAATCATATGTTAAAAAAAAAATCATGTGGAGCCAGGGATATAGCTCAGTGACATAGTACTTGCTTGGCAAGTGTGAGGCCCTGAGTTTGATTCCTGTTACCAAAGAGATGAATAAATAAAAATCATATGTATACATAAACATATTCAGAGCTTTGTGTGGTAGCACATCCTTGTGATCCCAGCACTCTGGGTGGCTGAAGCATAAGAACTCCAGATTTGATCCCAATTTGGGCAACTTAGTGAGGTGCTATTTCAGAAAGGTGGAGGATATAACTCAGTGTGGAAGCCCAGTTCCACCTTAAATGCTAGAGAAGACAGTGAAACCCCACAACAAAACTTGGTCAGTTGTTTGGAACTTATGGGGCTGGGATTGATTTTAATGAGCTGACATATAGGAATACTCACCAATGAATCAATAAAGGTAATTAAGATGTTATTCTCAGCATTGCTTCTGTTTTCTGTGTGGGACTTAAATTATTGACGTTTTTGAAAGAAATCTTAAAAAAAAATCTATTCCCCCTTATTTATGTGTTTTCTTTCACTACATAATTACATTGCTTCATTCTGTAACATTCATAGATAACACGGAAGGCCAGCCATTGTTTCTAATGAAATTGAAATAGACAAATTGAAAAATGTTTTGAAGAATATCTATGTATGTTTGATTTTTTTTTTGGGGGGGGGGTTGATGGAACTGGGATTTTGAACTCAGGTCCTTGTGCTTGCTAGGCAAGTGCTTATTCTACTGAGTCATTTCCCTGGCCCCATCTATGTATGTTTTTGACACAGTTTTCCCATATTTGAGAAAGTTAAATAATGGCAATGGTCCATTAGTATGATTGGTATAAAAATTCATATATAATATACTTAAATTTTGGGGTGCTATTGAAAACAATATGTGTCTTTTTAATTTTTTTAAAAAAGCTGTTTATTTGGTACAGGGTCTGCTACACAGCTCAGACTCATAGTGATCCTCCAGTCTCAGTGTCCTCAGTGCTGGGATTACAGGTGTGTGCTACCATGGCCTGTTTTAGTGTTTGTCTGGGTGCCTAGGGCC